GTTCTTGGATCAGGATATGTAAACCACAGCCTGTAAAGGACAGCCCACAGCTGCTGTGTGGGAAAAGTAGGGAGAGTCTGAATCTGTGCAACTGGAGCTTGGACACCAGGGGATTTCCAACAGCCTGTTGAGACAGGCAGTGACAGTGACCCTGGTGTTTCTACAGTGATGTTCAGTTAATCTCTGTAGAGAGATACCTGTTTGGACGAAAGTCAGGTGCTGTTTGGGCAGCCTGCCAGTGAAGACTTTTATGTATGTGGTTTATTGAGTTGCAGAATTCATTGAGGTATTTCCATATTTCCTAGAACCAGGACTTGAAAATAAGTCCTCAGATAATCTGTGTTGTTGGATAATCCAGGCAGCATGAGAGGTAGGGCCAGAGAACTGCTGTAGTACAGGAGCAGACTGACAGAGAGGGCAGAAATCGATTTATTGGGAGCAGAGGGGGAACCCAAAGAAGTGCTAGGGCATGAGACGTTCTGGGATAAATTCCCTTTTGCATCAGTTGCACATGACTATAATCCTATAATCTGCTTTGCAGATGGGCTTCAGGTTGTTTGGAGCTGGGTTTTTTTCCCTAAATACAGTGTTTTGTACCTCTATGATCTGTAGCTTTGTGTTGGACTTCTGTAACGTAAAAGAATTTATAATTTCTCTGAAAATGTGGACAAGTCTGTATTACCAGTGTTACATTTGCCTTTCTCCACCATTCCTGCCTCTTCACGCATGACTCCATAACTGGGGGATGGAGCACAGTGGCACATGAGCCAGTTTATACTAAGTAGAAATTTAAAAAGGGATGGAAAATGTCAAAGCTAATAAGGAAATACAGTCACCTGACAACAAAGAGAAAAAGATACATCTGAAAACTGTGTTGCAGAAGCAGATAAATTTAAATTGGAGATAAAGCCCTGCTGGTATTATTTATGGGCCAGACTCCATTGTTTTGTAGTGGGAAAATGTGAAAAAAAAATAGTAATGAAGATCATTGGCAGGAGATTGTTCTTTACCTTTCCTAAAAGCCACATATTATATGGCTTCCCATTCTGCAGTGTCTTTGGGAAGGAGGGTCCAACCTCATCCTACAGAGGGAAGGACACAAGCTGTTGGTGCAGGGCTTAGCACACAGCAAACCAGGGACTGCACGGATAAAGCAATGTTTAACTCAAATTACTCCTATTTTAATAATTAGCCAATAGCCAGTTCCCACACTTTGAAGGGCATGTTCTGCTTTGGTGGCATGCAATGTGCCCCCTCTTTTCAGTACTCAGCCTTTAAAAATGCACTGATTTCCAGGACTGACCTGCAAGTGGCTGTTTTATGGGTCTGACTTGTCCCTTCATCCCACCAGAAGAAAAGGATGAAGTTGAGCACATTCCCACATAAACTGGGAGATGGGTTTGTTTCTGTGAAATACTACTGGGTGAACCTTTCTGGCTGTATTTCCAGGTACCCAGCACCCTGCCTAGGCCACAGGTCTACTGGTAGTTAGGAGAGGTGATACTGCACCATTAAAGGTACAGAGCAGGGGAGGGCAGGTTTGGTCCCTGAGTGTAGCAGATTATTCTTTTCTTAACAAAACTGTCTCATTTTCTCCCTGCAATGAAGTTGTGTCACAATAAGATACCCAGTACTGTGCTCTTGGATTGAGTCCAAACTACGAAGTTCATCTTGTGAATATTATTTCTGTAGATTTTTTTCCTTATATTTTTACTTCCTTTCAAATACTCAGTTTGGTTGAGAAAGACCAGCAGAAATGGCTTCCAACAGCAGACAGTGAAGTGAGACTAGTAATTTTCCCTATGATTTTTCTAAGCTTTGGATTAAATCCATGGATGTGGTGTTTTAAGTAGGGAATATTCAGCTTTTTTCTGCTCTGCCTGGTTCAGAACTGGATGTTGAATGTGTCTCTTTCATGCCCAGCAAAGGCAGAGACTTGCTTTCTGGCTGCCTGTTTATAAATGTGTATCCAAGTAGGACAGGTCTGGTGAAGAGGGAGAGTTGCGGTCCAGTTAGTGGAGTCTGTCTCCAGCATCCTCTGGAAGTCTCCTAAATTGGATTGCTGATAACTCTCCATCTCTGTTTCTCTCTCTTGAAAATTGTTTAAGAAAATATTTCCAAGAGGAAATTCTGGTGCTGGGGGCACATTTTCATTTTGTTGGAAGTGTGTATTTTTGATCGAGTGAATAAAAGTTTTGCTGCAGAAGAGCATTCCCTCTCTGGGGAATGTGCAGCATCACTAAGCCTGGCCACAGTTGGTTCTGCCCTTGACAATGGACATAAATGGAATTAATTATGTGGGGGACCAGGTTCAGTAACTGCATTTTAAAAGGCTCTCAGTAAGTTATTAAATCAGCAAGAAAGCAGCACTGAGGCCCAGCAGACACAGAAGCTGTGTTCTGTGGTAAACCTGTGTATATAAAATTTCTCTCTAAAAAGATTTTAGGACTTCACATGACCTCTGCTAATACTACTTATTTTTATGTGCCAGTCCGTGTCAGGTGCCTCAGCTCCACACTGCCAGGGGCTGTTCTCTAGTCTGGACTTATCGCATCTCGCCAGAGCTTATCTGGCTCTATCACTTGGGCCTGCGACAGGAGTGGGTCACACCCCAGGAGCAGGATGACCCAAGGTGTGACTAGAGCACTCGCTCTACGGCTTTTTGGCTGTCAGTCTGTGCTCTGAGGAGACAAGGATGAGAGGGAGGTCTTTTGCATGGGATAATAGAAGATTTATTGCTCTGGGGAATCTTGGGGGCAAAAGACAGAAAATGCAAGAGTGCAACAGCTGAAATAGGGAGGCGGTTCAAAGGGAGGGTACAAAGCATCAGCTAATCAGAGATTTCCTGGGGAGGGTAAAAGGCAGGGTTCATAAAATCATCATCCAATGAGGGAGGTGGGGGGGGAAAGTTGGGTCACATGGACTAATCAAGCGTCGAAGTTTAGGGGATCTCCGAAGAGGAATTCCAAGCATGCGGTGGGCTTAAGACAGATTGACAGGAGACTCAGGGTAGATTGACATCATGGGGTGGAAGGGTCTCATTTGGACCAAACCATCGACTTAGGTAACAACAGAACATACCATTAACAAGAAACACACTGCAACATGGACTGCTTTCCAATCAGCATGAAGTGGCCTAATATTAACTGTTGACTTGTCCTGATAGTTTTTGTTGTCACAAACATAGCCATGACCCAACTGCAATGGCAATTCAGCCATACTTTCCAACAGCCCTTTGGTATCTTTTCCAAGTGCTCAAGCCCGTGACCTGGTAGAATCCAGATGTAAGAGAGTCCTTTCAGGGATACTACACAATAATATCTCTTTTTAGTAATCTTTAAAATATATATTTACTCCACTAGACAGCAGGATATGAGGGTTTGAAGAGAAGGTGCAGGTGTGATCAGTTGGATGGGATGTTGCCTGTATCACACAGGGGCACAGATGTTCACATCTTAAATGTGTTACATAAAACTTATTTTCTATATATTCTCTCTCTTTGTATATACAGATCTGCTGTCTAGTAGTATTTTCCTTCCCTCTACTGTAGATATACCTGAAAGTAGCAGAGTTAAGAAAACAAGCTACTTTTTCTAGTGAGCTCCTGCTGAAATGACAATGTGTCATCATCAAAATGCTTAGTATTGACAGATGTCCTTTTCAACATTATAGCTAGTAATGTAGTTACACCAGCTCCCACAAGACCTTGAGGTCCTTTTGTTAATGCAATCCTCTATGCTGACTAGCAAACTGAACAGGAAGGCTTTTTGCTTCCCTAAAAATACACCAGACTCATGAAATGAGCAGCAAGGACTTTCAGATCACTGGTCACCCGAGTCATTGGAGGCTGCTCCTCAAGGTGGAGCTGGCAGGTGTTGTCCCCCACAATGCAGTATTTTCAATCCAATAAGGCTTACATTATATTATACTTGCAGAGACTCTCTCTCTCTCTGTTGTGGAGCCTAAATGAACAACCTGCAGCGTGTACTCTGCAGAGATGGCTAACTGGAGCTTATTAATCACATTCTCTGCCCAGGACCAGACAGTGAAGAAGTGACTGACCTTCCACATAGAACTGGACAACTTTAACATTAAAAGAACAGGAAAATATATGAAATAAGCACATCAAGCTGGCTGCACCATGGTTCCTTGAAGAACACACAATCATTAGCATGAACAGTGCAGAAATTTTGGTGAACGCATACCTATTTACATGCAAAAGAACAAAAGAGACCTTTCTTGTGCAACTGCTGTCAGTGAAATGAATGAACCACTGAAAACATAACCTGCCTCTCATACTCCTTTGAGTCTTGATGGTCAGAGAGAGTCAGGCTGGCTGATTAACAAGGAGAACAAAATCCTTCTCTCCTACACAACTGAGAGGACCACAAGTACCTGACTTAGCTATAGCCAAGTTAAGGGTAACACTTCTAGTGTAGACTGTTCCTAAAAAGGAATATGCAGGTCAATCATGCCTAGTTACCCTCCATTGCTGTCACTAGTAGAGCAAAGTCTTATTTTCTAGGGTTTCAAATTCCAAGTGGAGAGTAGAGTGAAGCCCATCAGGAGACTTAGATCTAAAGAGGAGTTTTGAGTTACAAGTTGTCCATCTGGACCTACGCTAACCTCTCATGGTCTCTTCTTTTTTGTAGGCAACATCTTTGTTGTCAGCTTGTCTGTTGCAGACCTTGTGGTTGCAGTTTATCCATACCCTCTGATCTTAAGTGCCATCTTCCACAATGGATGGACCATGGGAAATGTCCACTGCCAGATAAGTGGGTTCCTGATGGGCTTAAGTGTCATTGGGTCCATTTTCAACATCACAGCAATTGCAATCAACCGCTACTGCTACATCTGCCACAGCCTTCGGTACGATAAGCTCTTCAACTTGAAGAACACCTGCTGCTATCTTTGCCTGACCTGGATACTCACAGTGGTAGCAATTGTGCCAAACTTCTTTGTTGGCTCCTTGCAGTATGACCCCCGGATTTACTCCTGCACCTTTGCCCAGACAGTGAGCACATCTTACACCATCACGGTGGTGGTGGTTCACTTCATCGTCCCACTCTCCGTTGTGACATTTTGCTACCTACGGATCTGGATTTTGGTGATTCAAGTCAAACACCGGGTGAGACAAGACTGCAAGCAGAAACTCAAGGCAGCTGACATCCGAAACTTCCTGACGATGTTTGTGGTTTTTGTCCTCTTTGCTGTGTGCTGGGGACCATTAAACTTTATTGGCCTTGCTGTTTCAATTAATCCTTCAAAAGTGCAGCCACACATTCCAGAATGGCTTTTTGTCCTGAGCTATTTTATGGCCTATTTTAACAGCTGCCTCAATGCTGTGATCTATGGGCTTCTTAACCAGAATTTTCGGAAGGAATACAAAAGGATATTGCTGACACTGTGGACTCCCAGGCTGCTGTTCATTGATGTGTCCAAGGGCGGGACAGAAGGGATGAAAAGCAAGCATTCTCCAGCCATAACAACCAACAACAACCATGCTGAAATACACCTATGATTTAGGACAGTACTATTTATTCTGGATTACAGTTGTATATATAATATATAAGAACTTTCTACCTGCATTGCACATCTGGTGTTACCCTCATGCAAGAAAGGAGTCTGCAACCTTTCATACTTAGCTTATCACTGTGACATCAAGGCTTTGAGTAAGGATTTTCAGAATGGAAATGACTGATTTTTTTTTTTTTTAATTTTTTATGTGTCGTCTTTCACTGTGTGCCTAGTTAATCAGTTTGGTTGCTTTTACCACAAGCATGCCCATACTTGAAAAGGGAAGTGTTCAGAGTGCATGGAGAAATGCAGTTATGCTTGAAATGCAACCTTCAAGAGACAGCAAAATTGTCATTTATTACACACAAACCTTTATCTCCTCCCTCTGAATTCTATTTTTCTAGCATTAAATTAACCCAAACTGTATCAAAGTGTAAACTGCATGACTATTTACATTTTAGATAGGTAACCATATTAGCCAGCAGGTGTAGTATGTATGGGCATGGTATGTGTTTTCCTTTTTCTTTCCTATTAAGGTTTAGAAGCTAGCCTGGGCTAGATGTGAGGCAGGCAGAAGCCAGACCGGCGTGTGTCTGATACATTCTTTTTAATTGAGTATCTACAGACATCAAGTACCCTTGCGCTCTCCTTTCCCAGGCCATGAGTAAGTATATGACATATGACATAATCTAATTGCAGTAAGATACTTGGAGCCTGATTCTAATTTAGACAGTATCCTGGTATGGCCAGCAGTCATTCCTAACATCTTTCCGAAGTCACTGCTACATGAACATCACAACAAAAAATATGAACATAGCAGAGTCCCATCTGTGTAACACAGATTGTGACTTTTACTCTGGAATGTTAACTTTCCAGTAACATTTACACTTGCAGACAAAAGCAGAAGGGGAAGGCAATGTTTGTTCCAAAAATCTCTCCTTTTGCTCATCAGAGAACATGAATTTGCTGACAGGAGAAAAAGTGGAGATTTTTTTCCCATTTTATTCACGTACAGAACTGTAATTAACTCATGGAGTGGGGAGACAAAAGCTACTTAACAATAATTATGCATCAGTTCTGTTAAAGCCTGGACTGTGCTGTTATCTTTGGAAACAATGTCATGAAGTTCTGGGGAGGCCAGTATCACATTAGATGTAAGCACATGGGCAAAGATAAGGCTGTTTCTTTAATGGAGTATGAAAGGGGAAGTGTGTGTGATGGCAGTTGTCTGTAGATATAACTTCGTTTACTTCGTTTCCTTAGCTTCATTGTGAATTCATCTGTTTATGGCTTTAAATATGTGGATCCTACTTTGAAACAATCCCATAAAATCAACAGGTAAGACTCCCCTGGTACAACTCTACCTTGAGGTTAACACACCTACCTTGATGCCGGCATGCTGAGTGGCACAGAAGGGAGAGGGGCAGGTCTGAGCCCTGGAGGTCTAATGAGGACAGCAGACAGCCCTGCCCCTGGTCAAAGGCTGTGGTCTTCTCTCTTTGGTTCTGGTCAAAGCAGGACTAGTTCCCAGCACTGAGCCCTGAAAGACTGAGACCAGACTTTGTAGGCACCTGGAGATAGAGGTTTGTAGGATTTCCCCAAAGCCTTAGCAGGCTGTATGCCTAGTCCTTAGTGAAGATAGTAAGCCTTTTGTGCATGGCTTTCTGAAACCAACTTGCTGCTGAATGCCCCTTCTGCTGATTTTTTTGGGAAAGAGGAATTGAGAGAAATTAAGTCTCTTTCTGAAGTGGGCCAAGGAACCCTGCATGCTGCATTTCCTCCATGAGGACTGAGTGTCTCTGCTGCTGCTTCTGCCATGTGGTGAAGGTCACTGTGGTAGCAAGGGGCCCCTGCATTTTCAGGGTGCCCTGGCACTTAGGAAGTTTCAAACTTGAACATCTCAGCCACTTCAGATGAATGTTGTTTTAAAATATGCTGCAGCAAGCCTCCCATAATAGGAATCAAACTGAGTTCTGTTTTGGCCTCTTAATCTGCCTCAGCATGGCCAAATAAAGGTATTTTGACCCTCAGAAATAACTGTTGTCTCTTCACCTTCCAGAAAAAACATCCTGGTTGAATTCACACCATTCCATGCAAGCAAAATCATTTTGAGTTAAATGTGGATAAGAAAAGCACTGTGGGCACATAACTGCAGGGACTGTTTGTCCCATCACACCAGGGAGATGTCCTGTGTTCCATGACTAGAATAATGTTCCATGACTTCAGAATAATTTGCAATTAGCCATAACAGTGTTAGTTAGAATCACATTAGCAAATAATTTGAAGCATATAATGCCAAGTGAAATATATTGCTTTAAGACAGTTGTGAATAATCTTGTGCAAATTTGCCAAATATCTCAAATACCCCAAAACTGGGGTTTCATCTTATGGATTCTTGTCTTTTTAACTGAATGTTCAGTAAAGGTAATGGGTTTTTTTTATTATTTTATCCTTTAAGCTTGTATTTGCATTATTTCTTAATCAGGCTCCAAAGTTAACAGCCAGCAAGTATTTAAACCAAACTAAGTCCAAAGATCCTGAACAGGTAAGTTGTGAGAGTCCCTTCTACATCCTGTCAGGAATGGGAGCAGCAGGACCATGATAGGGCATCTCCCCAGGACTCACAGAGTCACCACTCAACCAAACTATGCAAAATTATCTGCTCGTCCTCTGCCACGGGGTCTGAGCCCAGCTCCTGCCCAGATCTCTGCAGGGGACAAGCAAAGTACCTGCTGTGCTGGAGTGGGTGTCAGCAGCCCCCTGCAGTCTGGATCCCGCAGGCTAGGGATGGCTCTGTGGTGGGCACGGGGTGGCTCTGGCAGCACAGGGAGCACAGCCCTGGCACAACCTGTTCAGTAGGGGTCTGAATGTCCCAGGGAGGTGTCCAGGGCTGGGCTGATTCAGCCACTGTGGTTGAAGGCTTGAGCCCAGTCCTGCTGGAGCTGAGGTTTGCAATATGAACCATGGAAAGCTGGGAATGTGACCTCAAACAGGAACCTCTGTGCTGTTTGTTAGCACTTTGAATGAGGCAGCACTAAGGATAGGATAGAGTTTTATATGGTCTGATTTTAAAACTACCCAAGCAGCACCTTATTTTTATGTTAGGAAATGGTTAACAGGGTACAGAGAGTTTATTTTCGTTAGCATTTGTTTACAGAAAAAGGGAAGTGTGTTTTAGTTGAGAATTCTGAGCAGTGTCACAATTTCTCTATGGGAATTTAGCTTTAATCCAAATTTGAGATTTCAGTGAAACCCCACAGTTTAAATCACATTCTGCCAATTCCACCTGTTGCATATTTGGCCTTAAGTCTCATTGAGCTCTCACATAAACTAGTTTCAAATCACTTGCTCTGGGTTTGATATGGTGAGTCAAATACCTATTCTAGTCCCAAGCTCTAAAATTGTTGTCGTGGAAACTTATGGAGAGGCAGTATTGCTGTGAAGGAAAATGAATCTCTTGCCACAAAGAAGTATTTTTGGATGTTGCTAATGAATGTTTTTTCATCAATTTAAGAAGAATGTAACCAATATATATATATATACATACATGTGTACTGCATATGCTGTTTCCATTTTAATGTTTAATTAACAATCCTTCAGTATACTTTCCTACTGCCATTTTTGTTCATAAAATAGATTAATTCCCTTTACCTGTTAAAAATGTAATAAATCTGTCATAGGGCTACTTACTGATTTTTTTTTTCTCCACTAGCAGTTACTTTTTAATACATATTTGGAACATCAGCTTGAGTTTTGTTGACTCCGAGGAAGCAGATTGAATTGACAAACATACTTGAATTTGTTGCAGTGAGGGTGGCTGTGACAAACATTTAGGTCCCCTGACTTCAGGGCAGAGGGTGGCGAGAAAATACTTATGAGTGTGAACAATGGAGTGCCTGAAAAAGAAAATTACTTTAATGAGAAATAAAAATAGGGGCAATGCCCAGAAACCATGCACAGTATATGGACAAGCTCTAAAAGCCAGAAACAAGGGAGAAGTAACAATATATAGTCCTGGGGGTGGAGCATTCTAGAAACAATACCATATATGGAACACAAGTCACAAATAGGGGAGTAGAACTTGGACTAGCATAACAGCTCCAAAAGGCTCTTGGGAGGAGATTTCAGCTTGCCCTGAGTTAGATGAATGTTTCCCAGGGCTTAAAACTGAGGCTTATCTTTTTAGGGATGAAATCTGCCTGACCCTGTGTCTTAATCAGGCTGACTCCCATAGAGTTCACACATATCTCAGCAGCCCAGCTTGGACCTGGAGGTGCATGACCCTGGGTATCTGAGACATCTCCTTGGATCCACATGTCTTCTTACACTTGTCTGTGAGTCAGCTGCTTGATGCATTTTGGCTTTTCTCATCAGGGAAGAGCTTTCTCCATACAGCCATTGCTCTTCTCACTGTATGTCCCTTCAAGACTCTTTGTCTTTCTTGTCCCTATCTGTGCCTATTCATATGTCTATCCGTGCGGTGCTGTGGAAGCAGAGTTTTCTTGCTCTTTCCTGGGAAGGACAGCCCAGCTGATCTATGAAGGGGATGGTGTGGGAGCCAGGGTGGTTGCAAAGTCAGGGCACAAGGTGGTGCTGAGTTGTAGGGAAGGGATGGGACAGAGAGGGTCACCTTGGGCTGGGGGCACAGTAAGGGCTGACACACACTCGGTGTCCATCACAGAGCTTTGTGAGGATGCTGTATCCAAGATGTTCTATTTGTGTTATTTTCCCTCTGTCTGTTTTGGGGCAGGTTTTGCTGTACTCATTCAGTTCTTCAGCCAATAGGTTCTGTCCACAGGTTGCACTGATTGTATTCCCATGCTGACTTGACTGGAGCTGTTCTGGGGGAGTCTCTGTGCTGGTTGTAAAGCAGGGAATATGGGAGTATGGAGGCATCCAATTGTAACTGCAACTTGAGCTCCTGTTTCCTAACCAGATATCATATATAGCCATGGTGTTAAGGTACTAGAGGCTGAGTTTATCCAGTAAAACAAAGAACATCCATTAAACCAAAGAATTGCTGAAAAACCATGAAGCAGAAGTGTTGAATGAACAAAGGCCATTCAAAGATATCCCCAGGCAGTATTGTTACCTTTTTCCCTTATATTTTCCAACAGGCACTGGACTGTTGCTTCTACAGCCTGCTGCTTCTACAGTGAAACCTGCAATGCTTGGTGATGTGACACACTGAAAGAAGTGTTTATGATAGTGGCAAATCTCAAAATGTCTCTCTGAGCGGAGCTGACAGAAAACCCTTTCATAGACTTGCACCTGCTGTTTCTTCCATGTGGAACAGAATGAACTGAACTGTCAGAAGTGAGGTAG